TGTCCCCGCAGCCTGCCTGCCTGGGAAGGATCCCAGCTGTCCGCTAATGTGCCAGAACCAATGCATTTTGCACAGCCCTGAATGGGGCATTCACATGCCGGAGGGCAAACTGCCCAGGCTGCCCATGGGGGCTGCCCGGCTCCTGGCCTGGACCAGGGGTAAACACAAACAAGTGCCTGGGGAGGAGGTTGAGCCCCTGGGAGCTGTGCCCAGCTTGCTCCCACCTCGCTCCAAGCTGAGGTCTCTGTGCTGGGGGGCAGCATGGGGGGCAGACAGTGCCCTGTGCCCAGCGTGGTTTGCGCTGCTCTTGCTTCCTGGGCACTGCCATCTCCCTGGAAAACAGAGCAACAGCCAATTTTAAACAGTGATGTGGAGGTGAGTTCATGAATCCTTAATGCCATGTAGGGGGGCACAAGGGGACATGATGAGTGGGGACCTGCCAGCCCCTGTCACGGCTTTGCTTTGTCCCTGCTTGCTTAGCGAGCATGCCATGGCGGCAGGCAGTGTGTGGCTGCAGGCAGCATGTGGGTGCAGGCAGCGCCTCATCCCCACAGCCCACCCCACACCAGCCCAGCAATGCTTTCAGGGTCCTGGTGGTGCCCAGCACCATACCTGCCTGCCTGCGTCCTCACCCCATCCCTGGGCACCCAGGCATCCCCCAGAGCTGCAGCAGTGGGTGCCGGTAGGCTGTGCCGGAGCCAGCTCTGCCCGGCATGGGGCAACCGGGGCCGTGGCTGGGCAGGGAGGCAGCTTGGGGTGTCCCACAGCCCCACGACAACTGGAGGCAGTTTTTATTGTTTAACATTCCTGGTATTTTCTGTCAGGGCTGAACCAATTGTCCTTAATCCGCCAGGCTCTGCTGGCCAAACAAGTGTGGCTGAGCCACCGGCATCCTGTCCCCACGAACAGGCCCCTTTTGTGAGGGGGATTTAGCATGTAGCCCAGTAAATCCCGCTGGTTTCCTGAGGCAGCGTTCCCACACACCACACACACATACACACACCCGGCTGCCCCCCAACCCCCAGGCCCTGGCATCACTCCCCTGCCCAGCCGTGCCTGTGGGCAGCCTGCCTGCCCCGGCCCCAGGGCCAGGTACTCACTGCACGGAGAGAACCTGTTCACTCGGGGGCTGTGCCATCCCCCTGCACATTGCTGGGATGTGTCTGTGGGTCCCCGAGGGACATGGGGTATCTGTGAGTCCCTGCAGGATGTGGGGTGTCAGTGGGACTGAGGAGCTTCCCAGCCACCTCCCTGCACTGCTGGTCCTGGGGGATGCTGAGTCCTAGGGAGGGGTGCTGAGTCCTGGGGGAGATGGCTCTGGTTCTGGGGGGATGCCATGTTGTTAGGGGATGCTGTGGTCCTTGGGGGGGGATGCTGTGGTCCTAGGAGAATGCTGTGATCCTGGGGGAATGCTGAGTCCTGGGGGGGATGCTGAGTCCTGATGGATATGGTTCTGGTCCTAGAGGGGACGCTGAGTCCTGGGGGACACGCAATGCCCCGGGGGCAGGATACCAGCTGGTTCCTCGGCTGATTCCTCATTCCAGCTCCCGGGATGTGGCTCCCATCCCCTAGCCTGGAGACACCTTCACTTAACGACTCTGTTGTGGGGCCAGGAGCTGCTGTTGTCTTTTCTCCCCAAAACAAAGGCGACAGGATTTTATCTCCGGGACAATCTGGCTTTTGTGAGATGCAGAAAGCCTGCGCCCCCGGGCAGGGAGGGATGAGGCTGGGGGGGGCTGAAAGGCACTGGGCTCCTGCCTCCCCCACCTGGCACTGCCCCTCTGTCTGCTCCCGCCTGCCGCACCCCATCACCTACGCCCTGCGCACAGTGTCCTTGTCCCATGCTGGTGTCCCATGTGCCCCAGCGGTGCCCAGGCAGCGAAGGGGAGGGAAAGGCCCCCATGGGCCAGCGGGCAGGGAAAGGGGGCCCACGGGCACCCACATGTGGTGGCACCCTGTGCTGCTTCCCGGGCACGGGCTGAGGCAAGGCCCTGTCCTCTCTCACGGAGGGATCTGAACACCAACAGTTCCTGCATCCCTGGACCTGCACACACACAGATGTAGGTGTGCATCCATCGCCCCCACACACCTCCATGTCCGCACACCCCCCATCCATGCACAAGCGCCCCCCACACACACCCTCCCGTGCACATACAGACATGCCCGTGTATGCACACTTGCACCACCCTGCACAAACACAGA